GTTGGTGGGTTTTTTTTTTTCCAAATAGGGTTTTTTCATCCCAGATTTGTTGCCTTGTAATTTTGAGGACGTTTCTCTTTTAAAATTCAGGAAAAGGGCTTGTCAGAGCACTGGGACTTACAAGTGCCCTCTCCCTTGTGATTCTCCCAAAATAGGGCATCTTTTCAGAGGCCGGGGAAGCCTTTGGTGCTGGTTTCCCTGCAGCGTGGTTTGGGTCCCCGTCCTGGGGAGGAAGAGCCCCCACACTCCCGCACACCCCAGGGGCTGCCGAGTCCCGAGGCAACAGGCGCCGGACTTACTTGCATAGGCAGGTTGTTGGCCATGGTAAAGCTAGGCATGGGCGGCAGCGCGCTGTACGTGTTCGTGAGCGCCGTGTCCGTTCTGCCCAACATGGAACCTGATGTGAAAGAGGAAACTATAATAGAATAGACAGATAGATGAACACATTAGTTTAACCACAATTACAATTGGCGATACAGTCTCAGAGTCTCATTTTTCCAAGAGGATGGATGAACGTGAGTGGGTCGGTGGCATTACCGGGGGTGGTCGGTTGCGGGATCGGCTGGGGGCAGAGTTTGGTCGTAATACGACTTGCAGGGAGTGTTGCTGGCTTGTCTTCGCTGGTTCCTCAGCTTCTCTTCCCTTCTCCACTTGGCCCTTCTGTTAGAAAACCACACCTGAAAATACAGCGTTTGAGAGACATGAGTGACCTTACAAGGACTAGAGGCGTGGGGCCTCCCCCAAATAACTCAAGGCCGTGCTGATAGAAAGCTGGCTTGCAGCGTAGCAAAGCAGCGTGCGAAAGCAAACCCCAGCTGCTGTTATTTTCCTGAAGGAGGAGATGGACAAATACCCTTAAATACCCAAATACTCTTAAAGGAAGCCAGGAGTAACAAAATTAGAATAGCAATAGTAGTAATAGTAATAGTCATAATCGCACAGCAACTCAGTACCTGTATCCTTGCTTCAGGCAGGTCTATTTTAGCAGCTAGTCTCTCTCTTGCAAACACATCGGGATAGTGGGTCCTCTCAAATTCTGCAGAAGGAAACATTGCGTTAGTTGCAAAGAGTTAATGTGGCTGACTGTAAAGTCGGAGTCGTTCCTGCACTGCCTATGCTCTGAATGCTCTTAAGAAACATCACTTAAAGGCAAAAGCTTTCTCCATGTGTTAGGAAGGCGGACACCTTGCCTGCTGGGGAATATTGCTAAGGGGATAGGCAGGCTTGGGTGCAATGCTGCCTCTTTCAAGAAGCAGTGAGGGCTTCTGCCTCCGCTGAGGGGGTCCCCAAGGCAGCTCTGACCCTGTCACCAAGAAGCGAAATGGCATGTCGCTAAATAACAGCAGAAAATAAGAACAAAGATCCGCAGCAGGTCAGAGGCGTGGTGCGCCCAGGCCGGTCAGGGAAAAGGGCACCTGCTCCCAGCCCCGGGCAGCGGCAGTGCTGGGGACGGGGGGCGAGCGTGGG